TGCCACCAACACTTTCGAAAAGGAAATGGAATAGCGAAATCACCTGGCATTGCCCCGAGCCAGGGCGAGGACTGCTCCATGAAACTTTTTTTCCTGTTGCCTGTGTGTGTCAGTGTCTGCATCCTCATCTGGTTGCAAGGTGCGATGTATTCTTACTGTGGGTGGCAGTCCAAAACATTTGCAAGCCGCCAGTATCGATGTTGAAAGCCAGGCCCAGAGGGGCTGAGGAGTGACTTGCCCAGGGTCACTCAGCAGTGTTCCACGGGGTTCCTGACTTCCGTTCCAGCTCTGGAATGGGCCAGAGGTGCCACAGGACAGGGTGGGGCAGGGCAGGGCAGGTGCTCAACGTGGGGGACCTGGCAGCTCCCTGTGCCGTGACAAAGACCTCCCAGAGCCCAGCCTCCTACTATGCACTCCCTTCCGCAGCCTCAGACCCCTGGGCTCTCTGCCCTGCCCTGTCCCACCTGGGTGGAGCCCAGGACAGTCACAGGTCTTTCTTTCCTACTCTACCAGGGAGCCTTTCATCCTCACCGCAGGGTGCGGGAAGAGGAAGTGGTCACAGCCACCTTTCCAGGGCAGCCGGAGGCGAACAGGCCCAGCCTGCAGTAGAGGGCACACACTGGCCTCCCTGTGGGCCTGGGACGAGGCTCAGTCTGTCTGTCTGGTTCTGATTGGGCATTTGCCTGCACATGTGTGTGTAGTGAGTGCCTTTGTGTCTGTGCACACCTGAGTCTGGTCCTGGGTGTACGTGTGTGTGCACGTGTGTGCGCATCTGCTTGTACTACTTGCTTTGTGTGACTGAGAGCAGGCGAGACAGTGCCCATCTCCGGCTGCTATTGTGAATCCTCAGTGTGGTTGTCTGACTATGTGTGTGTGTGTGCGTGCGTGCCCACTGGCATGAAGCCAGTGCCACTGTGTGTCTGGCCTTGTGTCTGCGTAAGTTTGTGTGGGACTGTGGGTTGCTGGGCACGAGGGCTCGGTGAGCGGGGAGGCCTAACCCTGGGTATGCACGCGTGGGTTCCCGAGCCTCCAGGCCTGCGTGTGCCCCAGCGTGTCTCCAACAATCCCTGCTCCTCGCCCTCCAGCCCCCGCCCTTGGGAACCATGTGGCAGCCTCACGTCACAGGGGCCACCAGCAGCTGGCTTCCTCCCTACCCCGTCCCAGCCCCTCCTCCCCACACCGCCCTGGCCACCCGGATTCTTGGCACAGGGACAAAGCTGATGTCAGAGCCGAGCTGACAGCTTTCTTCTCCCACTGGATTTTCCAAAAGAGAGAGATCACTGCGGCCCCTATTAAATAATCGAGGGGCTGGGGGGCAAAAGGGGGACTTGTCACTCAATGATTTCCTGGACTCGGAGGAGGCAATAAATAGAACAGGAAGTGGCTGAGGACCTATTCAGCCTGAAGCTGGTGGTGCAGAGGTGGGGCCTGGCCTCCTCTCCTTCCCTTCCCCAGCCAAGCTCACTGGGCCACCCTGACCCAAACCAGTGCCCAGGGGAACCTGTGGAATTGTTCTGAGGACGGCAGGTGGGAGGGTGATGGGAGCAGCCAGTCTGGCCACGGTGATGACATGGAAAGAATAAAGTGGTCCCATCCCACTGGGTGGGGAGGATGGAGAGGCAAGACCTGGCTGAGGTTGGACCATCCTCTTCCCTGGGAAGAGAAGGAAGGGGGAGCTTCCTGGGGTGAGGGGAGGGATGGGAGCAAGTGGGGGAGCTGCTGGTGGGAGCTGTGATTGGAGGGGCCAGGCCTCCCTCTGTGTCTTGCAGCTGGGGTGTCATACCCGTCCCCCACCAGCCCTGCATGCTTGGGGTCCCCTAGACCTCCAGGAGCCTCCCAGCCTGGAGTAGTGACCTTCCTGGGCATAGACCCCCAAGGCTTTCATGAGCCTCTCTCCCACCCCACCCCCTGCCGCCCACAAAACCAAGCTTTATCAAGTGCTCACCAGACCCCTATGGGCTGCAGTCCTAACCCCCATTCTCTGAGGGAGACATTTAAATCCTCATTTGACAGACTCGGAAACTGAGACTCACAGAGTGGAATGATTTGTCCCAGGTCACACAGTGTGTAATGGAGCCAACCCTCCACCCTGGCCCCCTAACCCCAGCCTCCCTAAAACAGGACCCCAGAGGCCCAGGTGTGGTTCAAACAGCCAGGACCAGGGGGTCCCCAGGGAGTCACTCCCCTGGGAGCCCCTCCTTCTGCCTGGGCCAGGCCGCCCGGTGGCTTATCAGCCAGAGGACTGCATGACACAATCCCACTCTGATCTCCTGCCCAACAGAGCCTCCGCCCCCACCCCACCCCTGGTCCCTGTTTCCATCTCCTCCCATTCTGGGTGGGACCAACGCCCGAGCCTGGTGTCATGGTGGGCTGTCCAGCCAGCCAGTGTCTCCGTGAGCCTCTCTGCTGCTGCGGTCTCCCCTAAGTCCACACTAGCCAGAGGGCTGGCAGCAGGGGATCCTTGCAGAGGGAGGATGGTGGCCTGTAGCTCCCCACCCTCAGAGGACCCACCTGCTGGGTACGGGCAGGGGACTCAGGGCCCATCTTGGGCCCTGCTGGCCTCAGCATCCCCACTAGGTAAAGGAAAAGCTCAGAGAAGAGATGAGACTGCAGCATGGAGGGGAGGAGGCTAGGTGGGCTCTAGAATCAGCCAGACCCCAGGCCCACCTCGGCCGTTTACGAACTGTGGAACCTCAGGCGGGTGGCCTCATCTACAAAATTGGGGAACTGTGTTGTCAGCCTGTGAGGTCAGCAATGTCCTCTGTGTTGTTGATATTACTGTTGTTTGAGACAGGGTCTCATTCTGTTGCCCAGGCTGGAGTGCAGTGGTGCCACCATAGCTCACTGCCTCAATCACCCCTGCTTAAGCAATCCTTGTGCCTCAGGCTCCCAAAATGCTGGGATTATAGGCATCAGCCAAAGTGCTGGGATTATAGGCATGAGCCACACACCTGGCTGTGTTATGGATACTATCTTAGCTGTGGGGCACAGAGAGGGGAAGTGGCTTTTCCAAGGCCACACAGCAAATTAGTGGCACATTCCCAATAGTATGTGGACTGGTGGTGGCCTCTCTTGGACTCTGAGACAGGGAGCTGGAAACCTTGGGTTTCAGTCCTGATCTGCTTGTGAGAATTCCAGAAGGAAGCGTCTCAGAGTCTCAGTTTCCCTTTCTAGATAAGTCCATGAGTCCTGAAGTGTCTAGAAAAGGTTCTTTGGGACTGGGCACGGTGGCTCACACCTGTAATCACAGTGCTTTGGGAGGCCGAGTCTGGCAGATCACCTGAGGTCGGGAGTTTGAGACCAGCCTGACCAACATGGAGAAACCCTGTCTACTAAAAAAAAAAAAGTACAAAATTAGCCAGGCATGGTGCCTCATGCCTGTAATCCCAGCTACTGAGGAGGTTGAGGCAGGAGAATTGCTTGAACTCAAGAGGTGGAGGTTGTGGTGAGCTGAGATGAAGACATTTCTATCCAGCCTGAGCAACAAGAGTGAAACTCGGTCTCAAAAAAAAATAAAAGAAAAAAGAAAAGCTCTTTGAAAAGTGTTTTGTGGGGAGCGGTGGTGGGGGATAGAGAGAGACCCAGGTCCCCAGAAAAGCTGGGCCCAGGGTTGGGGGAGGGTCCAGCTCCAGGGCTCCCAGCCCAACGTTTGATGCCCAACCAGCTAGCCTGGCTCCAAACCACGGGCTGCAGCGCCCCCCACTGCCCAGCAGGCAGCAGGCCCCGAGGCCACGGGCCCGCCAACCCCAAGCCGGCCAGCAGCCAGGGCCTCCCCCAGGGCCAGACGGGGTGGCATTTGGGGATTTGAGGAAGTGAGCGGGGATGCTTGAGGCTCAGAATGGAGGGTGGGAAGATACAGGCCAAGGCAGGAGAAGGGGACACCACTGAGGGTCCTAGAGGAGCCTCTGCTGTGTCCAGCATCTCCCAGGGAAGCCCTAGGACTGGCCACAAGGGGGTGCCAGGACCACGTGCCTCTGCCTGGTGGAGGCTCTAGGAGGAGAAGGAGGAAGAGGGGGAGAAGAAGAAATTTCTCTCCCGGCCCTGCTGCCCCTTCCCACTCCCCTCAGACCCCCAGGATGTCCCCTCTCCCCAGCTTCCTGGGGCCCCATTTACAGGTGCTCACAATTCTTCCAAATGGGAATTACAACCGCCGTTTTACAGAGGAGACAATTAAGACCCACAGAGGTGGAATAAACCAGGGACTTGTGGGGCAGAGCCCAGACCTCCACCCTACCCCAGCTGCCAGGGAACCCCAGCCTCCAGACCCAGGACTGGCCCGCTCCGGAGACAGTTTCCTCACCCCCGAGAAGCCTCTCCCTAGTCCTCAGGAACTGCTGATGACAAGATTAGGGTGGAGCCCCTTCCCCTCTCATGCCAGCCTCCATGCAAGGATTTTACCTATATTTTTCCTTTCTCGCCACCATGATACCATGATTAGATCCATTTTATACAGTGAGTGAAGCACAGAGCTGTCAAGTCCTGCACTGGCCCAAGGCCAAAGGCACAGGGGCTTTGAACTTGACGGACCACACACCCTGGGAGCCTCCGATACAGGAACCAGCTCTCCATCAGAAGGAAACCCAGTGCTTCGGAGCCTCGGCCCCCTGCACTGCTCTGGGGGAGAGGATCCCTTGGGAATCCAGGACTTAAAACCCCCAGATGGCTAACCCCTCCAGGATCCCACACAACCGGGACTGAAATCCAGGCCTCCTTCCAGCCACCGAGTCCAGAGCTCTCACCACTGCCCTTTAACCCTTTGATGCTTTTTAAACCCTCACATGTCCATATGACACTTTCGCATCCATTCTCTCTTGACACCCTCAGAGACATGTTCGGGGCGTATCTCACCATGCCCATTGCATAGAAGGGGAAACTGAGGCCTGGAGCATGTGCAGGCCACCAGATGCCGCTGCCCCACAAGGGAGTGAGTGATGTTGGCTTTGGTGGAGGATAAATTTGGAGGCTGGCAACACCCTGGCCCTGCCCTGGGAGAAGCCTACCTGGTCTGTGCCTCCGGATCTGGAAAGAGGTTTGCCAGGTCTTCAGTGGGACACCATCGTCTTCGGGGCTAGGCCCCCTCTGCTTCCCTCTCCTGCTGAATCTTCTCTGGAGCTGGCTCCTCACCCCGCCCCCAACTTGACTTCCCGTCCAGAGCCGGGTGGCCCTGACGCTCCCCCCACTTCCACCCCACCCCCACCCCCAGCTAAAGGGCTGGGGACAGCAGGTGCAGAGGGCCCCAGGTTCCTACCCAGTCTGTGCCAGACACAGGTCGGAGCAGGGTCTTTCGGGTGGCCAAGGGGAGAAGCGGGGCTAGGGCATGGGGAGGGGGGTCCTTGTGCCCGATGCCCCTGCCCGGTGCTGCGTGGCGAGGCCGCTGGGGCCTGAGTCACAGCTGACGGGGCCGCGCCCAGCCTGCCTGAGTGACCCAGGCCGGCATAAGGCGATGACTGGGCAGCCCTCCGCATGACCGCCGGGGTCGGCCTTAGGTGTTTTGACTCAGACCTGCCACAGGCCGTGTGCAGCACAGCTAGCCTCCCCTTGTCCCTGCCTCCACAAGAGTCACAGGGCTGTAGCCCCCCCAAGACATCAGGCCCCCTCCTAGGCCACCACTCCCTGCCCCAGCACCCACCTCCGAGCCCTGGACACCACCTGGTCCATCTGATCCACCCTCGACACAGGCTCCAGGGCTACGCCTGCCCAACCCCCTCCCTCAGAGACCTTCGCCCCTCCCTGAGCCCAGCCCTCCAACGTCCTGAGACGCAGGGAACCTGGCCAGCCTTGGGAGGGCCTCCCTGCTCCAAAGGAGCATGGACTGTGACCCTTCCTTCGCATTGAAAAAAGGGCTTTTGTGGGCACCCCACATCCCAGCCCCTGGGCGGAGGGTGGGCGGCAGGCAGGGCAGGTGACAGAACGGGGACAAAGAGAGAAGAAAGAAAACCACTAAGGAGAGAAAGGGGAAATAAGAGAGACAGCCTCGGCCACGCCAGCTCAGGGACGGCCCTGCCATCAACATCGTGCCTGTGTGTTTCTCAGGGAATCGTCTTCACAGCTGGGAGGTGGGCCAAGTTGACCCCATTGTACAGAGGGGAAACTGAGGCTCAGCCCGGGCAGTGTACCCAGCTAGGGGGCTGAGGTCTGACTCCTTTTGCATAATTCTAAAGTATTTGAAACTCATCCCTGGAAAGAAAAAAATCACATGAAAACCTGCAGCAAAGAGTCTAAGGCCACAGAGGACAAGGGAGGCCGGGTCGGCATCCTGGCTCTGCTGTTTCCACACTGAGAGTTCATTCCACACATTAACAAAATGTGCCAGGACCCCTCCCCGCCTTTTCCTATGGTTTTGCTGTCCTAGGGAACTTTTAACCCACGTGTGCGCCGTGCAGCGTTGACTGAGACGCCTGGACCGCCGCCCTAAAAAACGTATAAAAGAAGAGAACCCTGCTTCGAGTGGATTCAGCGGCCGGACTGCACCAGGAACTCTTTCTCTTCCTTAGCCCGGTGCCAGCGGACCACTGCCCGTGACCACTTTATCCTTTATATGAGTTGGTGCGGGGGGAGGGCACACACTTGTTTGCAGGCTGTGAAGGCCTCGCCCCCCCTGGGGAAACGCGCCTAGCAGAGCATCAGCTCAGGCACGCAGTGGCAACAAAGTAGCTGCTCGCAAGGCCCCAACCTGCTGCCACTCCCAGTGGATGAGTGTGGGGACCCTTCATGCCAATGTCTGTGCTGCCTCTCCCAGTGGATGAGTGAGGGGACCCGTCATGCCGAAGTCCGTGCTGCCTCTCCCAGTGGATGAGTGTGGGGACCCGTCATGCCGAAGTCCGTGCTGCCTCTCCCAGTGGATGAGTGTGGGGACCCGTCATGCCGAAGTCCGTGCTGCCTCTCCCAGTGGATGAGGGCCACAGTGGATGAGTATGGGGACCTGTCATGCCGAAGTCCATGCTGTGGGTGGCAGGGTGATTGGAGGCCCAGTTCCACCTGTGGCTGATGGAAGCTCCACAATGTCACTCTGAGAGCCACCCACAGCACCAGGGCAGCCCCACAGACTCTTCTGGGTGGGGGAATCACAGAGGTGAGGGCATCTGCGCTTAGCCCTAAGGGCAGGAGGTTGTAAAAAGTGGGAAGGGGGGCCAGGTGCAGAGGCTGATGCCTGTAATCCCGGCACTTAGGGAGACTGATGTGGGAAGGTTGATTGAGGCCAGGAGTTCAAAACCTGCCTGGGCAAAATAGCAAGACCCCATCTCTACAAAAAAATTAAGTTAGTCAGGCATGGTGGTGCATGCCTGTAGTCCCAGCTACCCAGGAGGCTTAGGTGGGAGGATCATTTGAGCCCAGGAGGTCAAGGCTGCAGTTAGCCACGATCATGCCACTGCCCTCCAGCCAGGGTGACAGAGTGAGACCCTGTTTCTCCAAAGGGGCAGGGGAGAAAGAGTGGAGGGGGAATAGGGAGCTCAGGTTGTGTGCGGGGATGGGAGCAGCTGAAGGTGGGTCGAATGCAGAGACAACCTGGCAAAGTGGGCTGTGCCTGAGAGCTGGGGGCCTCGGACACTGCAGCCAGGGGTTTGGAATGGATGCTCTGTGCACTAGAACAGGAGGGAATTTTGGAAGCTTTGCCAGCAGGAGAAGACAAGATGATAGTGATATTTTTACTCTGTGTCCAGGGAGCCAGACTCTGGCAGGCGATGGAGAGAGGAGTGGCCTACAAGAGATGGATATGAGAGAAACCACAGGACCGAGTGACAGAAGGGAGAGGAAGGGCTGAGGGAGAGAAAGGCAATGGGCTGGGATTCTGGAAATTCAGTGAGGGCAAATGAGAAGCAGAAAGCAAGTGTCGGGTTTGCGGGCAGAGTGGTGAGTTTGGCTTCAAGGCATCCACTAAGCCAGGAGATGATCCTGGCAGCTGGGTCTGCAGGAACTGGGCTTGGGAGGGATCAGACTACAGGTGGTGGTTTGGGGTTACCTGCAAAGTGACTCCTCAGGCGATGTTATGGGGGTGACAAGTCCTCATAGACCATGCACCTGAGACCCCCTCCCAAGAGTCAAGCTCCCTCATCTGTTTCATGTGGAGTGGGTGTGCTCTAGTTCAAAGTCAGCCTCAGACCCCCCTCCTGGGCCGGGGGAGGTGGGTCTGGCCAGGGGTCAGGGGCTGCCACGCTGGGCTTCCCAGCTCTTCCTCCACAGGCCAACCTCTGCCCTCCCAGAGGGCAACCCCAGCGTCAGCCACAGTACCCATTTCCCTTCTGCTCCAGGAACTGGAGTGTGCCTGGCTTTTGGTGTCTGCCACCTCCCACCCACAGCTTCCCAGGAGCTGAGGTTGAGGCAGCCCCCTTCCCCCAGCTGAGGCAAGGAGACACACGTGAGGGCTGCCCCACTGCTGTTGGCAGGGCCTGGAGCAGGCCAGGCCTAGGGGTGGCACCTGTCTGGGACGGGCTCCCTGGAGCGCACCTCAGTGCCTCTGCTTCCCCCAGCAACACACCGGCCTCCGTCTTCTCCTTGGGGCTGGGAGAAGTAGGGCAGGGACAACCCCACCTGTCCTGCTCCTCCTTGAGCACCTACTGTGTGCCAGGCACCTGTGGATGCAGGGACAGCATGGAGCAAAGCAGACTTGGTCTCCATCCTCCGGGCTAATAGGAGATGCAGTCGGGAATGTCAACATCACACAGAGTGAGTGCTGCCGGAAGGGACAGCGCAGCCGAGTTCCTGGACCCAGACCTTGGACAGGTGGGAAGAAAGGCTGAGGATGCAACTCAAGCTGAGATCTGACAAGGAAGGAGCTCACTTGACAAAAAGGACAGGAAACAGCACTCCAGGCAGAGGAAGCAGCACAGGAAGAAACCCTGTGTTAGGAAGAAGCCCCAGGCATTTGGGGAGTTAGGATAGCCATTGCGGTAGGAGCCCTAGGGGCGACAGAGAGCGCAGTGGGCCCTTGCCAGGCACTTGCTGAACAGACCGGAACGTGTGGGGCAGCTGCCCAGGAGACTGCTGGCTGGGAATCAGGGGGCGGGAGTTCCAGCCTCAGCCTGGCACTACTTTGCTCTGTGACCTTAGGCAAGAAGCTTCCTCTCTGGGCCTTTGGGTAAATGCTGATGCCCTCACTCATGACACTCTGCTCCCTGAATGCTCAGAGCCTTTGCCCTAGCTCTTCCCACCTCCTCATCTGCACGTCACTCAGACCACAGTGTGGACGTCACCTCTCCCGATGCCACCCTAACCACTAGCAGCGCCTGGCTCTCCCGCTGTCTGTTACATCACCCTGCTTATTTTTGCTGAGCTCATACTGCAATCTCAGATCCTCCTGTTTTTGTCCCTGTGCCTGTCGATTGTCTGTCTACCCCTTGCCCTTTGCCTTCAGGAACTCATGAAATTGTCAGCCAAGTTACAGAGGAAGAGGAGTACCAGGAAGATGTTCACGCCCAGGAGTCCTACAACCCTGAATTCAAACTGTGCCCATCCCAGGTTAATTTGGCCTGAGGATGTGGGCAGGCCACTCTGACTCTCTGAGCCTCAGTCTTCTTATCTGCAAAATGTATCATGTCTATTACAGGGAGCTCTGCGCTGGCTTTCCTCCACCCTGCTGTCAAGTCCCCTGTTCCCACACCATCCCCAGCTCTATTTGCCATTTCAGGAAGTGGGGTTGGCCAGGGACCCATCCAAGTCAAGCTCACCTGCTGCTGGGAGCCTTTGCCTCAGCATGTCTTCGGCCTATATGTGCTCGCCTGGGAATTTGGAAGGAGCTGGTTTTGAGGGACTCAGATGGAAACTCTAACCCTTTGGGCTCCTCAGGAAGCAGTTTTAAGCACAAACCAGGTCACTGACCCTGTCTGAGGCAGGATCTGTTATTCTTTTGTTTATTTCACAGATGAAGAAACAAAGGCTCAGAGACATTAAGGAATTTTCCCAAGGTCACCCCAGTAGACGGAACAGGGCTGACGCAGGATTTTGAGCCCAGCCAGGTGTCTTCATTCCTATGCACACAGCCGTTCCTAATGTCTGCGGCATGCTCACTGCACCTCAGGCAGGATGCTGGTGGCAGGGGTGTAGCTGTGAACTCAGTCTTTGATTCATTCCACAAATGCCTAGGGCACCTTCCATGTTCCAGGCACCGATGTGCCCATGTCCCCCCCCACCCAGGGTGATCCAGGAACATAGACACACGTAAGAGGACACACTGGCAGACACCTGAGTTTACATGCACAGACACGTCTGCAGAGACGCACTGAGGTATCCATGCCCTCACACACACATAAATACAGATACAGACATAAGCCTCCATTAGGACACTAACATCCAGACTTCAGGATGAGGTGATGCATGCAACACACATTGGTATATAACATGCATTAGCATGCAACGGACATCAGCACGCAGACCTCAGCCTCACAGCCTCCAGGAGCTCAGAAGCGGCCCACACACTCAAGCCTTTCTTCCTCCCCTCTTGCTAACACGTCTTGACACCCCTCGTCCCCAATGTGTCAAGGGAGCCCCATTCCGGCTATAACCAATGCCTTGTCTGAGTTTGACACCCACCCCACCACAGTCACAGCCCCCAGCGGCTGGAGCATGTGACTTCCCTTCCTAGGCAGAGCAAGGACCTCCAGCCCATCCCCAAAGTGTGGACGCTTTTGGCCTTGCCACCTAGGGGCCCTCCCCTCTCTAAGAGGCTGCCCTTCCCCCACCCCAGATCCTCTCCTCCAAGACAATCGAGAGACACAGAGACTTTAGAAACCAGGCAAGTTTTAAATATATGTTTGCACAATATTAACATTAAATATACATTATAAATAAGCCTTATAAATATAAAACTGATATAAAAATTGATAGAAATCGATAAATTAGACATGTCCCTTCAAGGAATTGGCCTCACAGCTTCTGAGACCCCCCTCTAGAAGGGCAAGGGCTCCTGCATGAGAAAATTCCAGGATCGACCACCAGGGGGAGCAGCCAGCAGCGAGGACTGAAGACTGGGGCTTCCTGGCGCTGGGAGGTGGGCTCCTTCTACAGAGAGCTCCATGTACACCTCCCAGGGCCATTTGCACCATATGTCCCGATTTACAGGGATTTTGATATCCACCCTACATCAGGGAATCCCAGCAACTGACAGGTGGTGGGGGCCTTGTACACGTCTTTGTGAACCTAACTCCCTAGCTTCACAAACAGAAAACAGGTTCAGAGAGGTAAAGTGACCTGCCCCAGGTCACACGGCGACTTCGGGGCTGGCCTGGGACCTGAGCTCCATTCCCTGGACCCACGGATAGGGACTCCCAGGACACCCTACTGCTGTGACAGCTGCCTAAAGTGAGGTCACCCAGACATCCAGGTGTCTGGCTTGGGATGTGATGAGGCATAGGAGGCCAGCTCAGGCTGTGACCTCCTCTTCAGAACCACGGAAAGGAGGAAGTCTGGGGGCAATGTCCCTGCAAGTCATGAGAGGGAAGGACCAGCTGGCCTCGGGCAGCAAGGCAGGGGGGCAGTCAGCCCAGCCATGAGTCAGCCTGTGTCATCAGACCCCTGAATCAATGGAAAGTTGGCCCCACGTGGCCCGCCCGGCCACCCCACTGGGCCTGGGGAACTTGGAACCAGGGGGCGCAACAGTCTGACTCTGTCCGCCAGCCTGGAGGAGGTACAAGGGATCTGCCCAGCTCCCACCTCTTAAAGTGCACTTCCCATTGGTGAGTAGTAGAGGGAAACAGGTTTGCAGAGCCCTGAGGCGTCATCCTGCAACAGTTCCTCATTCGCAGAGCACCTGCCTCATCCTTCACTGGCAAGGGGTGCTCCCGAGGCTACCGGGGCAGCTGCCCCCTGGGCATGAGTCTCTTGCCTCTCCTGGAGGGTCTGGTCCTGTGTACCTCCTTCCGCAGGGCCCGCCAGGGGCTGTGTCTCCGGCTCCGGCTCCGGCTCGGGCTCTTCCTCCACTTGCTAAAGACTCGCCCCACTGAGTGCATGAAGCGGTGGTAGCCGTGCAGAAACCGGCAGCCCTCCAGCTTGTGCTGAAAAGAATCTGAGACCAGGACAGGGACAGGCAGCTGGGAGGTCCCCCGGCCAGCCGTGGTGGACTTAGCCATGTCTGAGATGTCCAGCAGCTGCGCCATGCAGTAGACATTGTTCCTGAGCCCGAGGACATTTGGCCTCGCCATCTGCAGCTTCTCTAAGTCCTCGGTGTTCAGCCTGGACCTCTTCAAGTCCTGGGCCTTGGGGAATTGCTGCTCTAAGGCAGCCAGTCTGTGCATGACGTGACCCAGTGTGGCATTGAGGGTCTGCAGGAAGTCCCGCCTGCCCAGGCCCTGTAGGTCCTCCTCGCTGGGGAAGGCCCCAGGGTGCTCCCTGCAGTGCTCTCTCAGTTTAGGAACATCCAGGCCTTGGATACGTATCTGGGGGGAACAGGAGGATCACAGGGTGAATGCTGAGGACCCGGACCACACTCATAGACGAGCCAGCCTTGAAATGCTAGACCTCATGCACCCCTATCCAATCTCCCTGCTGGATGGATCTGGAAACTGAGGCCTGAGAGGGAAGAGGACCCCAAGATCACTGCAGGCAAGGCCAGAGGGATGTTAGGGTCTGCTGGGATGCCTATGGGCAATGGAAGCTGCAAAAGGGCTGGACTCTGTCTTCCTCACTGCTGTGTGCCAGTGCCCAGATCAGAGCCTGCAAGGTGTGCAGGAAACACACGGAACAAGCAGATGAGCATGGTAATGGTGTCTGGAGTCCCGCCCAGGACCACGGAGCTAGGGAAGCTGGAGGGCAGCCGTAGCTCCTCAGGGTTAAGGCTGGAATAATGCAGGGGCTCAGTTCCCCACCTGCCCACATGGAGTGGGCTGGGCCTGTCCTTCCGTCTCACTCCCTTCCTAACCCCACAGTTCTCTGACACTCAGACACCACGGGGGCCCAGGGGCTTACGTAGGGGTCCAGGAGGCTGCTGGTGTCCTGCATGAGATCCGTCTGCTTCTGGAGCTGGTCGAGGAGCACGTCGTACTCTTTCAAGCAGCTGCCCACAGCTGCAGTGCTTGGGAACAGGAGTGCGAGGACCAGACCTAGGGCGAGAAGAGGGTGTCACCTGACTTGGCAAGGAAAGCCACAGATGGGAGCCTTGGGGAGGGGCTTCAGGAGAGCCTTGAAAGGTGCATCTCTTCATCCCAGACTTGTGTAGTTGCAGGTGAGGGCTGCACACTGTACGGCGTGGTATCCACACAGGCGTGCCCAGCACGGCCACCATCATCTCCCCACGGACTGACACAGCAAGCCACTCCCTCCCTTGGAGGGACCAAGACAGTGGCTGCGATTTCCCAAGTAGGTCTTTGAACAGAGGCTGCAGCACCCGGCTGTAGCCCAAAACCTGCACAGTTCTGACCTCAGGAACTGACTCTCAGCAAGGTGGGACTGGCTCCCTGTAAGACCTCTGGGCTGAGGACCAGCCACCGCCCTAGGACCCTGTCTTGTCAGCCGCTCTGGCCATCCAGGTAGATGGGACTGAGAGGGCTTCAGGGCAGGCAGCCCGGGAACAGCTGGTGCCCTCAGCTCTCTCTAGAACCAGGAGAGGCTGCCTTTTCAACCAGAAGCGCAGCCTGGAACAGATGTGGAAGACCCTCCAGCCCATGACCCCATTTTCCTGACAGGCAAACCAAGTCACAGGAGAAGGGCCTGCCTAGGTCACACAAGGCCAGGGCTCTCCCCTGACCTCTCATGCCTCCCTTTTCTCTCCATAAGTGGCTCCTCTGTCAGCCTCCCTAGGGATGCTGTGAGCCTGTCAGAGGTGTTGGGGGCGGGTGTAGTTACCGCTCACCACCACCCCCAGAGGGGCACTAGCAGCCACGTGGTCGGAAGGGGCCTGTGGTGCAATCACCCGGAAGGCAGTGACACCATCGTTCCCCTCCTGAGAACCATCCGGTCCCTTGGGGAAGACAGGCTGCTGGGGAGGGCCGAGGGGCCAGGCACCCAGGAGTGGCGACCCCAGAGCACCCTCACTGCCTCCCCAGGTATCTGCTGCTGGACTCTGGTGGGGGCCTGTGCGTGCTGCAGCGCATGTGGGACTGAGGTGTCTGCGTGGCTGTGCACCTGGTCCGTGTGCGGCATGAAGGAGACTAGCTCCGATCACCGTGGGGGTTCCCAGGCTGGTGAGATCCAGGGCTGTGCATGAATCACGTGGCTGTGTGTGGCCATGTGGGTGTGGCTGTGTATGCTGTGTGATTGTGTGGGTTCTGGGGGCTTCTCAGGCCCAACTGACTTTCTGTTCATCCGGGACCCTGTGACCGGGGCAAGCTGGAGGCCCCACAACCCCTCCACACCTTACACCACTCCTCTGCCCAGATTCTGAGCCTCCCTCTCCTGCCAGAACATCTCCCACCTCCCTCCTGCCTCCCTAGCCTCTTTGCCCATCCTCTTCTCTCACTCCCAGGCTCCCAGAGTTGCCGCATCTTGACATCACCTCCCTCTGGAAGCCTCCCAAGCATGCCCCTTCTCTACCTGTTTGTCAGTGGACCCCTCTCTCTGCCTGACCTCCTTGTTCTCTTCCCTTCTCAGCATCCTTTTGCCTGGCACCCAGCCTCTCCCGGGCCCGCAGGGCAGAGGGGTGTCCCTGCTCCCCACCAGTGCCCATGGAGAGACCTAGCAGGTGGGTTCTGGCGGGGAGGAAGGAAGTACTCACTGAGCAGCGTTTTCCGTGTGAGCAGTGACCCCATGCTGGGTGCCCGTGCTCCGGCCCTCGCCTGCTGGGGGTGACACCTCCCGGCTGGGAGCCCTGCAGGCTGGCAGCCACTTTATGCCCGCTGGGGCGATTGGCCAACACTTCATGAGGTGGGTGGGGATGGGGAGGGGGGAGGGCAGGCCTTCTGGGAACATGACCCCAAAAACCAAAATTTTCACGGGCGGCCAATGGGTGCTGGGCATGGTGTGCCCGCTCCTCCTCCTGTTTTCTTCGAATTCTTTCTTCGAGGTCAACCCTACGCCCAAGGATGATGTAAGCCGCAGCTCAGCCTTCCCGGGGTGAGCACAGAGGAAGAGGGTCCATGCCATCTTCGGGGAACTGGGCCTGGATGGGCAGGAGGGACTTCAAGCTGGGCCTCTGGAGGCCCCAGGCCAGTCTTGGCCCAAGAGCCGTTGGCCTTGCAGGACACGGTGGCTGGGGGCTGAGGGGAGCGAGACACCTTCCTTCTTGAGTGCCCTTCCCACCCTCTTGCCGGGCTGTTGGGACATCTGTGAACGGAAACCACCGGGCTCTGGGCACAAAGCCAGACCCAGGCTGGCAGCCCCGAGATTGTGGTTCAGGCCCCAGACCAGCATCCCCCAGCCCGGCCCCCAAGCGTCTCTTTTCCCCCATCGTATGCCCTCTGCCAGAAGCCAGGCCCTGTCTCTGTAGACAGGCTCCACTGGGGAGAACTGGACACTTGGAGCAAGAGGAGGCCAGGGTTCAAGTCTGATGAGGTGCTTTGTGACCTGAGGCAGGTCACCTAACCACTCTGAGCCTCAGAGACCCCCACTGTAAAATGAGGAGGAGAAAAGCCTTTCTCAGCCCACCTCACAGGGTTGCTGCCATCATGGACATAAAAGGCAAAAGGCCTTTAAAAGGCAAAGCAAAGATGAAGGTCTGATTCCAAGTATTAGTTGTAGAGGGGGCGGGGAAGCTGTGAGCTCAGAGGGGAAGCCGGGGAAGGGGGAGTTGCCGCCTTGACGGTTGAGGACCAGGTTTCACTTTCTCTGAAAGATAGCGATCTTAGGTTGGTCCTCTGTGAAAGGGCCCTGGGAACAGCACCTCCCCAGTCAACCTGCTACTTTACCGTGGGGTAAACTGAGGCCCGGGGGAAGGCAGACAAGGAGGCCGAGAGGCTGGCCTAGGCCTAGAGACCCTGACTGGTGGTGTCAGCACATCTACCAGGCTCAGGGGAGGGTCCTTGGCCTGCACCCTAAGGAGCCCAGGTGGGAGGAGGCCCTCAGGAGTCTGGGGAGTCAGGGGGGGACCCCTGGGGACTTCCAGGGAGTCCCCTGAACTGCTCCAGCTGGAGGACGCATGAGGTCTGGGGCACCTGAGCAAGGAGAGCCGGGGCAGCCCGAAAGGAGGAAGTCAGATGCACCCTGTCTGTGCCTGTCCCCGAGGCCCAGTGTGACCACCAAAGCTGTTCCCACCCATTCTCCCCATCACTCATTTATTCATTTGACAAACCTTTATTTGGCTTCATGGTGTACCAGCCACTCCTAGGCCTGAGGATCACATAGTCGGGAAAAATAGGTGACCCTGTGCCCAGGAGGCTGCTCTTCAGCCCCCACCCACTCCCGGGCACCCAGGCTGGGACTCACCACACCAGGCCCCATACCTCCCCATCGCCACCCCCAGGGGCCAGTTCTGGATTCTCATCCTGAGAACACTGCTTCCGCTAAAGTCGTCATCTCTGTACGCACTCCCACGATGCCATTTCCTGGAGCCATGCCAAGAGGGGATCCTTCTCCGTTTCACATCCCAGATCTCATCTTTTTTCTCCTTTTCAAAATGCAGGAATCTTGCTCTGTCACCCAGGCTGGTGTGCAGTGGTCCCTTCGCAGCTCACTGTGGCCTCCAACTCCTGAACTGAAGCAATGCTCCTGCCTCAGTCCCCTGAGTAGCTGAGACCACAGGCAAGCATCACCACGCCCAGCTATTTTTTATTTTTTGTAGAGACGGGATCTCGCTATGTTGCCCAGGCTGATCTCAAACTCCTGGATTCAAATGATCCTCCTGCCTTGGTCTCCCAAAGCGCTGGGATCACAAGTGTGAGCCACAGTGCTGGGCCACCTGATCTCATCTTGCAACAGCCAAGGTAGAGAGAGCGCTGGGCAGAGACACCTCAGCTCACTTCAGTGAGGAGCCCAAAGCTCTGAGAAGTTTAGGGGCTGGATCAAGAAAGGAGCGCCAGCTTTGAGCAGAGGGCTCCAGAACCCTCTCAGCTACGACTGACCAACCACCACACCTGGGGAGAGACAGCCACATGCCTTAGCTGATTCCATCCACCCTGTGGTCCAGGGAGGTCGTGCTGTCTTCTCGTGGCACAGAGAGAGGAGGTTGCTTTGCCTGAGGCCACCTACGAACAGTTAAGAGGAGAGGGGCATTGGGCCAGGCACGGTGGCTCATGCCTGTAATCCTAGCACTTTGGGAGGCTGAGGCGGGAAGATCATTTGAGCCCAGGACTTTGAGACTGTGTCTTTACAGAAAATTTAAAAATAAATTATCCAGATGTCGCAATGCATACCTGAAGCCCCAGCTACTAGGGAGGTGGAGGCAGGAGGATTACTTGAGCTCTGAAGGTTGAGGCTGCAGTGAGCCATGATCGTGCTGCTCCACTCCAGCCTGGGTGACAGAGCAAGACACTGTCTCAAAAAAAAAAAAACCCACCAAGAGAAGAGCGCATTCAAATGAAGCCCAATGACCACACTCTTAGCACATAGCTAATGAGGGTCCAGGCACAGGCCCTAGGGCCCAGGGTCACTGAAGGTAAGGAGAGCGTGCAGATGACACTGCTGGGACTGCCATAACAAAGTACCACAGACTGGTGCTTCAATAACAGACATTGATTTTTTTCACAGTTCTAGAGGCTGAAGTGTGAGATCAAGGGTTGGTTCCTCAGGCCTCTCTCCTTCACTTGTAGATGATGTCTGCCCCTGTGTCTCCACATTATCTTCCTTCTGCTTGTCCGTGGCCTAATCGCCTCTACATTTTTTTGTTTTTTTTGAGATGGAGTCTAGCTCTGTCACCCAGGCTGGAGTGCAGCGGAGTGATCTCGGCTCACTCAAACTCCACCTCCTGGGTTCAAGCGATTCTCCTGTCTCAGCCTCCCGAGTAGCTGGGATTACAGATGTGCGTCACCACTCCTGGCTAATTTTTGTACTTTTAGTAGAGACAGGGTTTCACCATATTGTCCAGGCTGGTCTCAAACTCCTGACCTCAAGTGATCCACCTGGCTCAGCCTCCCAAAGTGCTGGGACTACAGGCAAGCGCCACTGCACCCGGCGTTGCCTCTTCTCATAAGGACACCATTCAGATTGGATCAGGGCCCTCTCAATGACTTCATTTTACCTTAATTATTCCTTTTTTTTTCAAGACAAGGTCTTGCTCTGTTGCCCAGGCTCAAGTGTACGGTGGTACTTTCACAGCTCACTGCAGCATCAAACTCCTGGCCTGAAGCGATCCTTCTGCCTCAGCCTCCAGAGTAGCTGGGATTACAGGTATGTGCCACCACACCTGGCCAATTTTACCTTAATTACTTTTTTTTTCTTTGAGATGGAGTCCCACTGTCACCCAGGCTGGAGTACAGTGGTATAATCTCGGCTCGCTGCAACCTCTGCCCCCCCCAGTTCAAGTGATTCTGCCACCTCAGCCTCCTGAGTAGCTGGTACTATAGGTGCCCACCACCATGCCCGGCTAATTTTTGTATTTTGTAGTAGAGACGGGGTTTCACCATGTTTGCCAGGCTGGTTGTGAACTCCTGGCCTCAAGTGATCTGCCTGCCTCGGCCTCCCAAAGTGCTGGGATTACAGGTGTGAGTCACCGCGCCTGGTCCTTCATTATTTCTTTAAGGCTCAACCTCCAAACACAGTCATGTTCTGATGTACCATGGTTAGGACTTCAACACAAGAGTTTGAGGGGAGACACCATTCAATCCATGCAGCCTGGAAGAGAAGGGCATGGCTGGAGGGTGAAGGGGCTTGGGCCACTGGCAGAGCATCCAGAGCAAGGTGGGGCACAGGAGGACAGGGAGTGGCCCGGAGGTGAGGAGGCCTGGCCACTCATCCATCCCAGCCAAGCGTGAAGGAAGATGCGTCAGCGTTTCTGGTGAGGTCAGCAATCAGTGACGTCCTCCTCACCAGCAGGAAAAGCTTGCAACATGGCCCAGCCAGTATAAATAGGCTCCCGACCACAGGGCCCGGGCTGTCCCCTCTTCCCGGGCCACGTCAGCCAGGTCCGCGTGATTTGGAGAGGAAGAGAGGACCAGCATGGTTCCTCAGAAGAGCTGTTTCCTTGCTTCCCAACTCACCCTCTGGCTGTGGGGGTCCTATCCCTTTAAATGCAAGGACAGTACCTGAGATGGCCTAGCAGGGTGCTCCAGGGG